TTTATCTGAGGCATGGTTTTTATAAATACAAGATTTGTTGCTTTTGATCCTGTTTAGGAGACTTTGTTTTTTGACAAGAAGATTAAACCAAATGTATCGAAATAAATTATATATTTGATTTGCTTTTTGTTTGTTTGCTTGTTTGTTTAGATGGAGTCTTGCTCTGTTGCCCAGGCTGGACTGCAATGGCACGATCTTGGCTCACTGCAACCTCTGCCTCACCTGTTCAAGTGATTCTCCTGACTCATCCTTCTGAGTACATGGGATTACAGGCACACGCCACCACACCCAGCTAATTTTTGTATTTTTAGTAGAGATGGGGTTTCACCATGTTGGCCAGGCTGGTCTTGAATTCCTGACCTGAGGTGATCCTTCCGCCTTGGCCTCCCAAAGTGTCGGGATTACAGGAGTGAGCCACTGTGCCTGCCTGTTTCTCTTTTTCATCTTTTCCTACTGCATTCAGGAAAATTTGGTTAACTCTTCTCTTTGCTTTAATTGTCTGCAACATTCAGTGTGTTTGCTATATATACACACACATATATGACACATGTATGAAATGAAATATGTAAACGCACTGAATGCATATATGCATCCATGTACAAACTTCCTGGCTAGTTTCACAGAAGTATTTGTACAACTGAATCTTGCTAAAAATATGAAAAGGAGAGAGTTTTGAAAGTTTCCCTGGTTTCTTGGCAGTAAATCTCTTCTGCAGGAGGAAATTTCTCCTGATTTTTCAACTTGGTCTCTTTTACATGTATTCTTGTTTCTTGTCATAAGCTCAGTGATTTTCTGCTTTATGCCATAGAGAGGTTCACACTTATTCAGCAATGCAAGATGAGGAGGGTACAGTCAGGAAATTTATCAATTGTATTTTTAAAATGCTCAAAAAAACCAAAGAGAAAAGAAGAAATAGGATTTATTCTAAATTTACCTTGTCAGATTCTAGATACTGTGGTCTGTGAGACCGAGTCTGGAGTCTGGCAAATGTGCTGGACACCACAAGCTTCCTTTCAGTGTTTGTTGGGGTGGCAGAAACATAGCTCCTACTCACTACCTGGCTTAGCTGTTCCTATGAAAAGTGAAATTGAGGCAGAGCCTCCACTGCGTGCTGAGCAAGGGTGAGCACCAACAGCTGGACTGTGCGCTGTGAGCACTTGACGCTTGACATTTTCAAAGGGTTGAATTCTGTTATAGGTTGAATGATGTCTCCCCCAAATATGCTGAAGTCTTGACCCCCAGTCCCTGTGGATGTGATCTTACTTGGAAATACAATCTGCAGATGCAATCAAGTTAAGAGGGGGCCCATTAAGGTAGGCCCTAATCCAATATGACTGACGTTCTTATCAAACGAGAGAACTTTGGGCACACACGTGCACAGAGAGGAGAACCGCATGTGAGGACACAGACCCAGAGGGAAGGCAGCCACGTGAGGACAGAGACAGAAATTGGAGTTCTGTTGCAACATGCCAAGGAAGCTTCTGGGGCTCCAGAAGCTGGAAGATGAAATGAAGGATCCTCCCCTGCAGGATTCAGAGGGAGCATGTCCCTCCTACCAACACCTTGATTTTGGACTTCCAGCCTCCAGAACAGACCTCCAAAAACTTCTGTTGTATTAAGCTGGCCATTTTATGTTACAGACATACCACAAAGGTATTGCAGGTTCAGTTCCAGACCACCACAATAAAACAAATAGCACAACAAATGAGTCATATGAACTTATTGATTTCTCATTCTAAAAGTTGTTTTTTATACTATAGTCTATTAAGTGTGAAATAGCATTATGTCTTTAAAAAGTCATACTTTTTTTTTTTTTTTTTTTTGAGGCAGAGTCTTGCTGTGTCGCCAGGCACCAGGCTGGAGTGCAGTGGCACAATCTCAGCTCACTGCAATCTCCGCCTCCTGGGTTCAAGCAATTCTCCTGCCTTAGCCTCCTGAGTAGCTGGGACTACAGGCGTGCGCCACCACGCCCAGCTAATTTTTGTATTTTTTTAGTAGAGACGGGGCTTCACCATGCTGGCCAGGATGGTCTCGATCCCTTGACCTTGTGATCCGCCCACCTCAGCCTCCCAAAGTGCTGGGATTACAGGCGTGAGCCACCACACCCAGCCAAAAAAGTCATTTTAAAAAAATGGTTTATTGATGAAAAATGCTAAAGATTATCTGACCTTGAATAAGTCATCATCTTTTTGCTGGTGGAGGGTCTTGCCTCAAGGTTGATGGCTGCTGACTGATCAGGGTGGTGGTTGCTGAAGGCTGGGATGGCTGTGGCAATTTCTTAAGCTAAGACAATAAAATTTGCCACATTGACTCTTTCTTTGGCAAAAGATTTTCCTGTAGTGTGCAATGCTCTTTGATAACATTTTACCCTCTGAACTGCTTTCACAATTGGAGTCAATCCTACCAGATACTGCTGCTGCTTTATCAATTGAGTTTATGTCATATTCTAAATCATTTGTGGTCATTTCAACAATGCCTATGTCATCTTCACCAGGAAGAGACTCCATCTCAAAAAAAACACTTTCTCTGCTCATTCATAAGAAGCAACTCTTCATCTGTTCAAGTTGGATCATGAGATTGTAGCAATTCAGTTACATCTTCAGGCTCCACTTCTAATTGTAGTTCTCTTGTTATTTCCACCACATTTGCAGTTATTTTCTCCATTGAAGTCTTGAACCTCACAGTTATCCATGAAGATTGGAATCAACTTCTACCAAACTCCTGTTAATGCTGATATTTTAACCTCTTCCCATGAATAATGAATGTTCTTAATGGTATGTAGAATGATGAATTCTTTCCTGCAGTTTTCAACTTACTTTGTTCAGATCCATCAGAGGAATTACTGTCTGTGGGAACTATAGCCTTACGAAATGTATTTCTTAAATATTGAAACTTGGAAGTCAAAATTACTACTTCAGCCATGGACTGCAGAATAGCTGCTGCTGTCATCAGGCAGGAAAACTACATTCATCTCCTTGTCCCTCTCCATCAGAGGCCTTGGCTGATGAGGTACAATGTCAATGAGCAATAATATTTTGAAAGGAATCTGTTTTTCTGAGCACTAGAGCTCAGCTGTGGGCTTAAAATATTCAGTAAGCCACGCTGCAAACATACCTCTGTCATCAGGCTTTGTTGTTCCATTTATAGAGTACAGGCAAGGTACATTTAGCATAATTCATGAGGGCTCTAGGATTTTTAGAATGGTCAGTGAGCATTGACTTCAACTCAAAGTCACCAATGGCATTAGCTCCTAAAAAGTCAGCCTATCCTTTGAAGCATTGAAGCCAGGCATTGACTTGTCCTCTCTAGCTATGAAAGTCCAATAGATAGTTGTTTTGTCTACTCGGAAAGTCTGCTATTTAGTGTAACACCTTCATCAATGATCTTAGTTAGATCTTCTGAACAACTTGCCACAACTTCCACATCAGCTCTTGTTGCTTTACCTTGCACCTCTATGTTATGGAGATGGCTTCTTTCTTTAAACCTCAGGAGCCAACCTCTGCTAGCTTCTACCTTTTTTTTTTTTTTCTGAGATGGGGGTCTCACTCTGTGGTCCAGCCTGGAGTGCAGTGGCACAATCTGGGCGCACTGCAACCTCTGCCTCCCGGATTTAAGCTATTCTCATATCTCAGATTCCCAAAGAGCTGGAACTACAGGCACCTGGAACGACTCTTGCTAATTTTTGCATTTTTAGTAGAAACAAGGTTTCCCCGTATTGGTCAGGCTGGTATTGAACTCCTGAACTCAGGTGATCCACCTGCCTTAGCCTCCCAAATTGCTGGAATTACAGGCATGAGACACTGTGCCTGGCTGCTTCCAGCATTTTTTTTTTTTTTCAGCTTCCTGACCTCTGTCAGTCTTCACAGAATTGAAGAGAGTTAGGGGCTTGTTCATGATTTCCTTAGGCTTTGGCTTAAGGAAATGTGTCTGGTTTGATCTTGTATTCAGACCACTAAAGCTTCTTCTGTGTCAGCAATAAGGCTGTTTCACCTTCTTGTCATTCATCCATTTCCTGGAATAGCATTTTAAATTTCCTTCAAGTACTTTTGCTTTGCATTTACAGATCCCTAGCTGTTTGGCACACGAGGCCTGGCTTTTGGCCTGTGTTGGCTTTCAACATGTCTTCCTCACTAAGCTTCACCATCTCTAGCTTTTGATTTGAAATAAGAGATGTATGACTCCTCCCTTCATGTGAACACTTAAAGGCCATTGTGGGGCTAGTAATTGCCCTAATTTTAGTATTATTGTGTCTCAGGGATTAGGAAGTCCTGAAGAGAGGGAGAGAGAAGGGGAGTGTCTAGTTCATGGAGCAATCAAAGCATGCACATTTATTAAATTTTCTGTCTCATATGGGTGCAGTTCGTAGTGACCCCAAACAGTGACAATAGTCACATCAAAGATCCCTGATCACAGATCACTGTCACAGACATGATAATAATGAAAAAGTTTGGGATATTGTGAAAATAATCAAAATGCTACACAAAGACATGAAGTGAACACACGCTGTTGGAAAAATGATGCCAACAGACGTGCTTGTCACAGGGTTGGCACATGCCTTCGATTGTAAAAAGCATAACGTCTGCGAAGTGCAATAAAACGAGGAAGGCCTGAACTTGTTGATGGCAGCCCTAAGAAGCAATCATGCTGTTACCAGTAAGATTTGTTCTCTCACACAGATGCTATATGGCCTTCTCTTTCTTCCAGCAATGGGCTGGGCTAGGGTTGTTTGTGTGCTTTGACTATTACACTCTTTCCTGATTTATTTTCCTTCCCATCCAGTGAGTGCCATACTTTTTATATGTGCACTGCTAGTTTCCAGCAAGGATACAGATTTTCCCCCAATCTTCTCCAATCTTTGTTCATTTCAATCAGGCGTTAACACCTGTGTTTAAGCCTCTTAAGAGCAGGTGGCAATAGCCCAGTTTCCTTCCTGAGATGTGGCTAGAAGGTGTATGGCTGTGCCAGAACTCTTGAACCAAGAGATGTTGCTGCCAACTCACCCTGTAATACAAGAATAGTTGATTCTGGATCCAACCTGGATGTTTGTGATCACATGCACCACGCCATTCACTGGACCTGAAGGAGTTTTACATGATTTACCTATGGGAAAGAAACAGTATTTTGGAGCTAGGTAAAGTAATCTGAACTCTCTTCAGTACATAAGGTATCAACCTGCATGTACCTTCCTGAAGAAAACATACAGTTCTGATGGTTCCACAGATTTTGCCACCTTGAGAAAACTCCTCAGAGCACCTCAGGATTAGCCAACAACTAAGCCCCACTTTCAAAAAGACCTTCCCTCCAGATCTATCTAGATCTAGATTTAGATCTGTGTAGAGACCTTGCATCCCCTATCAAAATGCAAAAGTCATTTATGGCATTATGTACCACGAATATATTTCAATGTTTTCAAAGGATTTCTTCCCACCTAGTTGTTCAAACAGAATTTGTCTTCCTACGCAATTTTCCCCCCGATTCAGAGTCATTTGTTATTTACTTTCCCTAGGGAATGAAGATTTTCTCTACAAATATTCCCTGAAACATTCTCATGAAGTGAGCATTTCAAGCAATAATCAAGGATAACCTACAAGAATAACTCTTACATCCACCTATCTGAACACTTTTGAAAAGAGGTTTCTTATATCCCACATTTGAAAAAATTCAGTAAGAAGCTTTGGCAGACATGGGAAAGATCCTATTTAATTTTTACATTTTTTAGGAAGCCAGAAAGAATGTCTTGCCAAGGTTTCCACCTTTGTTGTTTGAGTTCCTTGTACTTTAGGCCATCAAAACTCCAGTAAGAGGCTGAAAAGCATGGGCGGGGAATTTGAGACAGTTCCTGGTGGAAGGAGCCACCGATTTTCTAGGTCAGATTTCTAAGCCAGCCATTTCAGTAAGGAGATTCACAGGCTTCTGTTTTTAATACCTATAATTCTTTTTTTTTTTTTTTTTTTTTTTTTGAGACGGAGTTTCGCTCTTGTTACCCAGGCTGGAGTGCAATGGTGCGATCTTGGCTCACCGCAACCTCCGCCTCCTGGGTTCAGGCAATTCTCCTGCCTTAGCCTCCTGAGTAGCTGGGATTACAGGCACGCGCCACCATGCCCAGCTATTTTTTTTGGATTTTTTTTTTAGTAGAGACGGGGTTTCACCATGTTGACCAGGATGGTCTCGATCTCTTGACCTCGTGATCCACCCGCCTTGGCATCCCAAAGTGCTGGGATTACAGGCTTGAGCCACCGCACCCAGCCAATACCTATAATTCTAATGAAGAACTTTCCCACCACTCACCACTTCCCTCCCTTTTCACCAGCCCTTTTAGCTGCAAAGGTCTTCAGGATCTTACGTGCTGGCCTACCTTAGAATGATTTATCATTGGTTTGGCATTCCACTGTGGCAAATGCACAAATATATACCACCCTGTAATTATGGAAATATGGAGGGCCTGGGTTAGATATTCTGAACCCATTTTGGATATGGAGAAATGAACACTAACCCAGACTTCTACAGTGAGGAGCAGGGCTGCTCCAAACCCCATTCCCTTGAGGGTCACTTGTGCATCGGATGGTGCTCTCCCCAACGAGGTCAAAGGTCTTCCTGCTGTCTGGGTGGGGGTCGCATGTGTAATTTACTGCTTTTCCAAAGGGAAAGACTTCCAGAGGTTTTCCTGTGTGTCTCCCGTTAGGTATATCTGGAGGACTTGGACAAAAGATTTCTGGAAAAAAGGCAAAAGCTCTTAAGTTTCATCCAGGAGTTTCACCAGAGGTATTCTGCAATTATAAGGTGCTATGATTGTTTTTATTTAAAATATGCTAAGGAGATGACAGTAGACATTAGGACTTCTAAGATTTGGATTAAATGAGATGTCAATGAAAGTGTATTGTGAAGTATAAAAGAGATTTGTCTATCCTGAATCTTTCAGATAGTAACAGTTCCTGGACAATAGAAACTTTACAACTTTAATGAAATATCAAAACATTTGAAGAATAAAAACAACCACTTTGAAGGGTAATTCATTCACTTAGTCAACATATATTAACTGAGCACATATCCTGTGTCAGCTACTCATCAGGATCCTGGGGACACAGTGCTGATGAAGGAGCCTACATTCTTGTGAAATATTTCTCAAGTGTATATATGTGTGCTAACCACCTTAAATAGGCAAAAGATTTCACTGATTACTTATTGATATTGATCATAAATCTCAGTGATAACAATAGCACTGTCACAGTGAATTAAAATTTAGTTAGGCCATTACAAAAAACTCCAAATGGATTCAGATTGCTTTGCTTTTTAAAATATCTAGGTCTGTTGATGACTTATTTTCTCTTTACCTTCTGGGTCAGGTTTCCAGTTGTTACTCCTTTCTAGCATCTGCTGATTTGTTTAGAACAGTCTCTTCCTCATTCTAGTTGGTGTTTTTCATTAGAATTGGAATTTGGGAGAAGCTACTTCAACTAGCAAAGGTTGTGAAAAATAAGAGAAAGCTTGAGTAGTCCAATCAATAACTGAGCTTTCATGGCAGGAGAATAGACACTTGTCATGTTGCTTCAAGGAGCACTGGATTTCTTAGACAGCAAGAATCTCTATATAAATTATGGTCTTTTAAAATTTTACTCTAAAAAGCACTGTAAGATGTCAAAGTAGATTTCTAACAACATAAACATTTCAGTAAAATTTCATGGGTTTTTTTTTTTTTTTTTTTTTTTTTTTTGAGACAGAGTCTTGTTCTGTCACCAGGCTGGAGTGCAGTGGGGCAATCTCGGTGCACTGCAATCTCTGCCTCTGGGTTCAAGCGATTCTTCCGCCTCAGCCTACCAAGTAGCTGGAACTATAGGTGCGTGCCACCACACCTGGCTAATTTTTGTATTTTTAGTAGAGACGGGGTTTCATCATGGCCAAGATGGTCTCGATCTCTTGACCTTGTGACGCCCACCTTGGCTTTTTAAAGAAACATGTTTTCCAATCTTTAGAATCAAGAAATGAAGCAAAGTTCTCTCTTCTACTGGGGAAATTATAAATGGGTAGACTAGGTGAAATCAGCAGTCTACACATTTAGACTGCTAAATGTGATTACTGAACACATGACTCTCATTTTTAAAAAACTGAATTATTATTTATGAATCTCTCAGCATAAATTATTTAGGTGCATGTTTTGAGAATTTAAGGAGTCTCAAACTGCTCACCCTGTCTAATGTTATTTTCCACTTTTCCCTCATTCCTCATTACTTTAATCTATTATCTCTGTAGCGTTTAATTAATCTATTTTTTTCTTGTCCTTCTCCCCACCTGAGTAAAAACAACATGGGGACAGGAATTTCACTCATCTTGTTCATTGCTATAACTCCAGTGGCTAGACAAACGTGAGGCACAAAGTATGTGATCGATAATTGATCGAATAAAGGCATGTTTAATATTTGTGTATTAGTGAATAGATACAAAAATTGTGGACTGACTGCACCTTGATAGGAAAACAAAATGAAAAAGAAGGAAGGAAAGAGAGGTAGGGAGGGAGGGGAAGGGGAGAGAAGGAGGGAAGAAAGAACTAAAGGAAAGAAGAGAAAAAATGGAGAGAAAGAAAGCAAATTGTTAAAGCTTCACATTATCTAATCTCTCCTGACCTAGAAGCACACTACCATAGGATTTATCACAATAGAACACAGGATACTAAGGGCAGAGACAGATCAGATGGTTCCAAAGACAAGCGATGTACACATTAACTCACAACACACATTATTAAAATAAGCAATTTTCAAATCAATAATTCAGACTAGAAAATTGAAGAACCACATTAGAGGAAGCCATGGGTCAAATACCGAAGAGATAAAGGGGAGACATTGGCCTGAAATGTTACTCCTATTACTCACGTTCACACACTGGAACACTGCTATTCCAAAGGCTTTCCATTCCAACCAAGACACAATAACTAGCAGAGCTGCCTTTTAATTGAAATCTAAAGAAGAAAATAGTAGTGAATAGTGGGCCAAGAGGCCAGTTAGTTTGCAATCTAAGGCCCTGCCCCAAATTTCAGGATTTTGAGGATCTGAGACCAGGAGGTGGCAGAGTTACAGAAGCTACATTATTCTTGAAAAATCACAGCATCCAGAAGGGAGCAATATAGAATGGCAAAATGCAGTAGCTTGGTCACATGACAGTCCTGCTTGAATTGAAGAAGGTGGTCATGACATAGGCACCATCCCCTTGACCCTGGACCCAGGCTTGGAGTTTCACTGATTACTCCATGATAACCTGATAAATCACTCATTGTCATTATTAGAAGCCCAGTCCTTAATGCAACGCCTTCCTGACTCTGACCCGGAAACAGCAAGTAAAACAGCTTCCAGTTTGGACTGGAAAAGTGGGAACTAGCTGGTGAGAGAACAGAAATGGTCCTTTTGTCTCCACATCTGTGGTGGAATGAGGAAGGCTTACAATGGCAGTTTGGGCTCCTGAAGAGTAAGCCTGAATATTCTAGGGTCAAAAAGAAAGAAGAGATGACATGACTTTTGTATGCAATCATCGAAAATTCTCAATGTCCTGATGCCCTCCTAAATCTTACTGGGTGCTGGCATTTGGAGGCTGCCAAGATCCTGTGGAACATTTTGGGATCAGGTGCTTTGTTGCCCATGCTGGTCAGCTATCATGTAGAGATGCACACCCTGTGAGGACCACTAGTTGGACATAAACGAGTTAATGACCTTGCCGGAAATATTAACAGCAGCCATCAGGACCCCATCTCAGAGCCCAAAGCCCATGACTTGCCAGATGATATATGACTGAATTTTTTTAAAATGCATGTTCAGTCCTATTACAAATTTCACCATTGATAGTTTAAACAATTTACTGGAATGATTCTTAAATGATTCTAGCTATTTAGAATAAGTGTTTTGTTACTTGCAATTTTTTCTGAAACTCTCTAAATTATTCATATCTTTTTTGGTTTGGAAAATAGAATTTTTTTTTTTTTTTTTTGAGACGGAGTTTCGCTCTTGTTACCCAGGCTGGAGTGCAATGGCGCGATCTTGGCTCACCGCAACCTCTGCCTCCTGGGTTCAGGCAATTCTCCTGCCTCAGCCTCCTGAGTAGCTGGAATTACAGGCACGTGCCACCATGCCCAGCTAATTTTTTGTATTTTTAGTAGAGACGGGATTTCACCATATTGACCAGGAAGGTCTCGATCTCTTGACCTCGTGATCCACCCGCCTTAGCCTCCCAAAGTGCTGGGATTACAGGCTTGAGCCACCGCGCCCGGCCGGAAAATAGAATTTTTTAACTTAATGTGCTACCTACATATTCATAACAAGTAGTTATACTTGTCCTTGAACTTTCCAGTTAATATTGGCCCACTTTTCTCTTCATATCTCATGATGTTAGTTCTATATGTTTCTTTCTTCCTATATATACTTTCAAAAGTTCATGACTTTGAGTGTGTGTGTGTGTGTGTGTGTGTGTGTGTGTGTGTCTTTTTTTAAAAACTACACCAATCTCCCCTTTTTTGGACTAATTCCTAGCCCAATTTCAATGTCCAGCAGATCAGGCAAGCTTATACTCACCCTTCATCACAAACAAAGTCCACTTTTGCTCCAAGCTGGAGATTAAATGGAAGTAGTACATGGCCATTAGGAAATTGGCCCAGGAAGTCATCGCAGGATTTCACTGGAGAAAAAGAAAAACAAACAGAAATAACTGGCTTGTGGAGAATAAAGACACAGGCTAAAAATATCAAGCCAGGTAAGAGTCTAGGCACCTTCACATCTGGGGACTGCAGGGCTCCAATCTCCCTGGGGTGTACAGCGCAGGGAAGGAGCCCCTCTGAGGTCATAGCCAGGTTCACAGCTGTAGAACACTTCCTGGCCAGGCCAAAAGTTGTCCTTGTCCCTTTGGGTACGCTCACCATGCAGGATATCTGGAGGCGGCTGACATACTGGGGGAGAGAGAAACGAAGTCCTGCTAATTGTGTCAAAATAACTTTTTCTTCACACTGATAAACTGGCCAAGGGAATAATAATTATAAGTCTATATATAATAAAAAGGTACAATAAAAGCCTTATTATACTGATAAACTAAAGACGCAGAGCAAGGAAGATGTCTCGCCATCAGTCATAGAACCGACACTTGCAGAACTGTGACCAAAACGGAGGTATCCCCAATTCATTGTTTTTCATCTAAAAAGTATGCACCTAAGATTTCACGATGGACAGTTCCTTCTAGAATGCTTCCAATTACTATTCACCCAGTACAAAATTAGGAGGAATGATGGATTTTTACATCTTCACACTTCCTTTCTAGAAGGACGTCAACAATTTAGTCTTGCATTTTAGGCAATAGAGCAGTGCCCATGCACATGTCTCATCTGCTAGGTCCCTCCATCCCCTATCACACTGGTGCAACAAACAAGGTCCATACACCTATTCTCATCTCCTTTCATGTCTCTCTTAGCAGCCACCTGACATAGGGTGTTAGAGAACGATGGGTCTCCTCTCTTCATGCTATGTAGCAAGGTGCTGCCTAGTCATTCATTTCACTGCAGTGAGAAGGTTGGCAACTGTTGAACAAAATCTAAAAGACCTACTGTCACCATAATAAGGATGTATATTTCACGCAACATATTATAATGACGTCTCTGGTTGTCTTTTAATCTAGTTCATCTGAACTCAGGAAATCAGAACACATTCGGGTCTCAACTAAATTATATAAAACTGTTATAAAATGGAAAAGATAATTTCAGTTGGGCTTTGAGTAGATCAGTTCCCTTTTCTGGACTTCAGCTTTCTCAAGCATCAAATAGGGGATTGGACTAGAAAAATTACTTCTTTAAGGAGTTCGTAAATACTCTGATGCTGTAATGTCAGTTTTCAGGGCTCATCACCCAGTGTTTCCCTTGACTACTCAATGCCTGGTGATATAATATTGAGGTGGTGTGTTTGTTAAATTTATGTTGGCCCCTGGCCTCACACTTCTGCACTGTCTTTTGACTGCTAGCAATGGAGGCCTTAAAACTCCAATCCTTTGTCTTCCTTGATAGGTGGGCTGTGGTTAGGTTCTGTCAACTGGAGGCATATATGCCAAATAAAAAGGCAGGATGATGGCAGAATCTGTTCTACTTCTAGAGGTGGCTCAGGCAGTGACAGTATAGATGGCTTCAGTGAGCAGCCACAGCTTCAATTCTAGCAATGCCAACGACTTTTGCTCCAGCAATATCAGCTACATTCTGGCAGCAGTGGTGGCTCCTGCAGCATTAGCAGCTTTCAGGAAGACACCTGCTCAGTGGCAGGAGCTGACCATTTCAGCATCAGTACAGGCTCCTGTGTTTTAGACTGGAAGCCACAGTAGCTCCCTGATCTCTGGTAAATCTACCTTGTTCCTATTGCTTTTCCTGCCCTTCTAACATCTTTCTGACCTATTAGCTGTGATATGGTTTGGCTCTGTGTCCCCTCCCAAATCTCATGTCAAATTGTAATTCCCAGTGTTGGAGGAGGAGCCTGGCGGGAGGTGACTGGGTCATGGAGGTGATTTCTAATGGTTTAGCATCATCACCCTAGTGCTGTCTTGTGATAGAGTTCTATTGAGATCTGCTTGTTTAAAAGTGTACAGCACCTCCCTATTTGCTCTCTCTCTCTCTCCTGCCAGGCATATGAAGATATGCCTGCTTCCCTTCTGCCTTCTACCATGATTGTAAGTTTCCTGAGGAGTCCCCAGCCATGCCTACTGTACAGCCTGCAGAACAGTGAGTCAATTAAACCTTTTTTGTTTATAAATTACCTAGTCTCAGGTAGTTCTTTATAGCAATGTGAGAACAGACTAATATCACCTGCATGAAATCCCTCACTCCTTGAAAGTATCTAGAGTAAGTTTTGATTTCCTGACTGGATGCTGATTAGCAAAGCCAAGGCTCTGGAGTCAGGCAGACTTGCATTCCAGTCTTCAGTCTGGAAGTTAGTATCTTAGAAAGTTATCTGACCTCTCTAAGGTACAACTTCTCTGCCAAACATAAAGGCTGGGCATGGTGGCTCATGCCTATAATCCCAGAACTTTGGGAGGCTGAGGTGAGTGGGTCACTTGAGCACAAGTGTTTCAGACAAGCTTGGGCAACATGGTGAGACTCCATCTCTACAAAAAATATAAAAAATTTAATCAGGCCTGGTGGCATGCCCATGTAGTCCCATCTGCTTGGGAGACTCAGGCTGGAAAATTACTTGAGCCAGGGAGGTGGCAGTTGCAGTAAGCCACGATCTGACGTCTGCAGTCCAACTTCAGTAACAGATTAAGAATTCTCAAGCAAACAAAACAGACAAACATAGAAAAACTGGTAACTACCTAATAACTTTGTTTTAAGAATTAAAATTCACACTGTCTGGTATCTGACCAGAAAACTCACTCATTTCCTATAAGCAATTATTATATTTAAAGGTAATTGATAGATCTGTTTATAAGAACCCCAAAGAAACATCACATTCCTTGCCCAAGTTTAGCTTTGCTTCTCGATTTCAGCACATGTGCGCGTGCACACACACACACGCACATATACACACATCTTCTGAATTTCATGTTCACTACCTAGAAAATGTGCTCCCCAACCCTGCTGACCACACATCCCTCCCCTTGAACAAATACTAATCTCCTGATCCAGCAGCAACTCATGTCATTTGCAGAGCCCTTCTAGGCCTCAGTCAGACTCACCCCTGGAGCAGCTTGGTAACTCTGGTTTCCACTTGTTCAGTGGCTGGCACTGCACACGGGGGGATCCTTTCATGACAAAGCCAGGCTGACACCTGAACTCAGCAACTTCATTTAAGGAAAATAAGCTTCTGTTGTCAGATACTATTATTCCATTTTCAACATTTGGAGGTGTGCATTTGTTAGGTATAATGCACTGAGGGGCCGGGCCGCTCCAGATGCCCACTTGATCGTCTTTGGTGGTGCAATATATGGAGGGCTCACCCACGAGCTCAAACACATTTCTCCCTCTGCTTCCAGGATTGCAGCGGTAGGTCACCACCGATCCATAGTGAAAATCCTCTCTGTTGATGCTAATGAAATCACCATTGGCAATGGTCGGGGGTAGCCCACAGGGAATTACTGGGAAAAGAAACAACAGGTTAAATAATAGTCAATTTAAATAATGAGTAACAAAAATTCACCAGTCACTAAACTGTAACTATTTTTACATTTATTATTTGCTTTTAAGTTTTGCTAACATGTAGGTACATTTTTACAAAATTGTAACTTCAGTGGGCATAATGTTATGTGTCCTGCCTTTCTTACTTATATTATTTCCTATAATATTTGCATGCATTTATTAACTCAATCTATATTCTTTTTAAGTAGCCCTTTGATCATAGTATTATAGAGTTTATATAGTTTTCTCCTACTCTTTTTCATTTGCTTTCTTAATGTCCATTTTTGTTATTAACTGAGGTTAGCTTTTATAGAGAAGTAAAATATAAAAACCTTTGTTAAAAGACAAATTATAAGGGAAGAGTGAAAACAGAAATATACACAGCATGAAAAAGAATTGAAACATTTTTTATGAATATGATAGTATTTGTAAAACTGTAAACTACTGGGGATTAATATTTTGAAAATCTAAATGATATAAATGGAAATATAAATTGCCAATATTCATTCAAAAAGATGTAAAAAGCTAGAATTGTCCAAAAAATATGTAAGCATGGAAAAAAGTCAAAGATGAGTTCTAGCAAACTTTCAAGTAGCCTGTACTTCCAAATAATATTTCAATGTCTCACAAATACAAAAGATATAAAAGTTAACAACTCATTTAATCAAATCTAAGTCTGATATCATAACAAGATATTTGTGTAAAAGTGATCATATATTAGTCCACAAAAACCCCTAAATACATGTTAAATATACAGACTAAAGACATAGAAGAATAAAGCCCAGCATGTTTAAGTGAAGTCCTACAATGAGAGGAGAGATATAACAGAGCATAAGCAACATTTGAAGAAGTAGTAACTGAGAATTTTCTATGATTAATGCAAGACATCATTAAATTACAGATCCAAAAAGCTAGGTGGCAGATCCAAGATGGCCGAATAGGAGCAGCTCTGGAGTGCAGTTCCCAAGGAGAGCAATGCAGAGGGTGAGTTATCACTGCATTTCCAAACGAGATACCAGGTGCATCTCAATGGGACTGTTTGCAAAGTGAGTGTACCCTAAGAAGGGTAAGCCAAGGCAAGGTAGGGTGCTGCCTCACCCAGGAAGTGCAGTCCCTGGAGGACCCCCCTCCCTACCCAATCAAGAGCAAAATCCCACTCACAATTGCTACAAAGAGAATAAAATACCTAGGAATACAACTAACAAAGATGTAAAGGACCTCTTCAAGGAGAACTACAAACCACTGCTCAAGGAAATAAGAGAGAACACAAACAGATGGAAAAACATTCCATGCTCATGGTTAGGAAGAATCATTATTGTGAAAATGGCCATACTGTCCAAAGTAATTTATAGATTCAATGCTATCCCTATCAAGCTACCAATGACCTTCACAGAACTGGAAAAAACCATCTTAAACTTCATATGGAACCGAAACAGAGCCTGCTTGGCCAAGGCAATCCTAAGCAAAAAGAACAAAGCTGGAGGCGTCTCACTACCTGACTTCAAACTATACTACAAGTCTACAGTAATCAAAACAGCATGGTACTGGTACAAAAACAGAGATATAGACCAATGGAACAGAACAGAGGCCTTGGAAGTAATGCCGCACATCTACAACCATCTGATCTTTGACTAACCTGACAAAAACAAGCAACGGGGAAAGGATTCTCTGTTTACTAAATGGTGTTGGGAAAACTGGCTAACCATGTGCAGAAAGCAGAAACTGGACCCCTTCCTCACACCTTACACTAAAATTAACTCCAGATGGATTAAAGACTTAAACATAAGACCTAACGCCATAAAAATCCTAGAAGAAAACCTAGGCAAAACCATTCAGGACATAGGCAGAGGAAGAGAGTTCATGACTAAAACACCAAAAGCATTGGCAACAAAAGCCAAAATGGGCAAATGGAATCTGATTAAACTCCAGAGCTTCTGTACAGCAAAAGAAACAATCATTTGAGTGAACCAGCAACCAACAGAATGGGAAAAGTTTTTTGTAATCTACCCATCTGACAAAGGGCTTAATATTCAGAATCTACAAAGAACTAAAACAGATTTACAAGAAAAAAACAAACTCATTCAAAAGTGGGCAAAGAATATGAGCAGACACTTTTCAAAACAAGACATATATGAGGCCAACAAACATATGAAAAAATGCTCATCATAACTGGTCATTAGAGAAATGCAAATAAAAACCACATTGAGATACCATCTCATGCCGTTTGGAATGGTGATCATTAAAAAATCTGGAGACAACACATGCTGGAGAGGATGTGGAGAAATAGAAACACTTTGACACTGTTGGTGGGAGTGTAAATTAGATTAGCCCTTGTGGAAGACAGTTTGGTGATTCCTCAAGGATCTAGAAATAGAAATTCCATTTGACCCAGCAATCCCATTACTGGGCATATACCCAAATGATTATAAATCACCCTATTATAAAGGCATATGCACATGTATTTTCACTGTGGCACTGTTTACAATAGCAAAGACCTGGAACCAACCCAAATGCCCATTGATGATAGACTGGACAAGGAAACTGTGGCACATATACACCATGGAATACTATGCAGCCATAAAAAATGATGAGTTTGTGTCCTTTGCAGGGTCATGGATGAATCTAGAAACCATCATTCTCAGCAAACTGATACTAAGAACAGAAAATCAAATATGGAATGTTCTCACTCACAGGCAGGTGTTGAACAATGAGAACAAGTGGACACAGGGAGGGGAGCATCACACACGGGTATGTTGGCAGTGGGGTAGGGGAGGGGCAGTGGGGTTGGGAAGGTTGGGGAGAGATAAGATAGGGAGAAATGCCTGATGTGGGTGATGAGGGGATGGAGGCAGCAAACCACCTTGCCATATATGTAGCTATGCAACAATCCTGCATGATCTACACATGTACCCCATAACCTAAGGCACAATTTAAAAAGAAAGTTATACAGTCCTGTCGCAGTGGCTCATGCCTGTAATCCCAGCACTTTGGGTGACCAAGGTGGGCAGATCACCTGACGTCAGGCGTTTGAGACCAGCCTGGCCAATGTGGCAAAACACCCTCTCTACTAAAAATTCCAAAATTAGCCCAGCATGTTGGTGCAGGCCTGTAATCCCAGTTACTCAGATGGCTGAGGTGGGAGGATTGCTTGAATCTGGGAGGTGAAGGTTGCAGGAAGAAAGACTGAATAAAACAACAAAACCTTACTATATAATGTTTATAAAATACAAGCTTTAAATGTAAGACAAGGACTGAAAGTAAAAGATTTAAAACATACATAATATAAATACAAGAAAGAAAGCTGATATAGCTATATTAATGTACAAAGTAGATTTTAAGGCAAGAATTAGTATGAGAGGTAGAGAGAGAATTTCAGTATGAGAAAATAGTCAATTCAACAGAAAGATAGAATAGACCAAAAATTTCATACGTTTAATAACATGTTTAAAATTCATGATATAAAAATTGCTAGAACAAAGATGAAGACAGACAAATTCATAGCTATGGTTGGGAATTGTAATGGGTTGAATAACCACTGTCCTCCTTAAAAAATATCTGTGTCCTGCCCTCTGAAACCTGTGAACGTGACCCAATTTGGAGAGTCTTTGTAGATACAATCAAGTTAATGATCTTGAGCTGAGACCCTCCTGGATTGCCAGGGTGGCCTCTAAGTCCGTGTCCAGTGTCTTTATAGGAGACAGAAGAGCAAAGGAAACACACAGAGGAGAAGGCAATGAAGATGGAGGCAGAGAAGAAATGATGCATCTACAAGCCAGGGAACATCACAGACGGCAGCAGCCACTGGAAGGAAGCCCGGAGACAGGCACAGAACAGCTTCCGGATGGAACCAATCCTGTCGGCATCTTAACTGTGGGTTCTGGCCTCCAAACTCTTAAGAGAGTAAGTTTCTCTTGTTTGAAGCCACCAAGTTTGTGGTCATTTGTTACAGCAGCTCTGAGAAACTAATACAGATATTTTACACATGCCTTCGAATAACTGAGAGAACAAGTGAAAAAGACTGTTCTAAATCATTTTCCTAAATGACATTTCTAGAAAGTGAAACAAAATAACTGTACATTCTTTTCAAGTGCATACATAACAGTTTACCAAAATCATCTATTTTCTAGGCCATAAACCATGCTTCAAATGATTAAATTAATAAAAGAATGACTAGAAAATATCTAAATATTTAGAAATTAAGCAATGTCCTTCTAAATAGCATATGGGTCAAAGAAGACATTAAAAGGGAAATTAAAAAACTTTTATGTACCGTGATAATAAAAATATAAAGATTGTGGAAAGTAAATAAAACAGTTATAGAGAAAAAATTATAGGTTAAATGTATATCTTAGAAAAATAAAGGTTGAAAACAAATTATCTAATCAATATCAAGAAATTAGGAGTGTAGGAACGAACACACAAGCTTAAAGAAAGTAGAAGAAAGATAATAAAGCAGAAATTAATAAAAAAGAAAATAGCCATACATTAAAGAACAAAACAAGAAAAAGTCATTTATTTGAAAAGTTTAGTAAAATTGATAAAGCCCCAGTTAAACGAATCAAGGAAAAAGAAGCAAAAAGATATTACCAATATTGGAAATTAATTAACATGGGGGTATCACTACAGAACTTACAGACATCCAAAGGTAATAATGAGGATTTAATAAACAGCATTATGCTGATAACATAGAAAATTTAAATAAAATGAGTAAATTCCTTGGAAAATATAACTTACCCAAACTAATTCAATAAAATATATAATAATTAATAGTTTTATAGCTGTTAAAGAAACTAAATCAGTAATTTAAAACTGAATAACAACAACAACAACAACAAAACCCCTCAGGTGCAGATTGCTTCCCTGCTGAATTTTTCCAAACATAAAAGGAAAAATAATATTAATGTTACACAAATTATTCCAGAGACTAGAAAAGCATAAATAATTTTTAACACATTTTATG